GGGCTCAAAGCCAGCTTTCACCAGCACGTTAGTGTAGCATCCCCTTGCCAGAAGCACAGAGTGGCTGGTATGTGGTGGCAGACTACAGGCACGTTACTTCCCCTCCCCCTTTTATTTTAAACATACATAACTGACGTTTGCTTGTGAGATGCTAAGTACAGAAATTGAAGATGGCATCAACAGTCATTCAGAGAAAAGTGAACAACTCTGGTTGCTGCCAGCCTCAGTGTTCCAAGTACCCACCTGTTAGCTCATACACTGCAAGAAGACTCCACTCTTGCAAGAAAACTCCACTCTTTCAAGAAGCAGGGCCTGCTGTAAGCACACTTTGGGCATGGTTCTGGGAAAGGTGTTCACTAAAACATAGGTTGTAATTTACCAATCACTTCCTTAAGCAGTAATTTCCTAAGCAGAATGTGACCCTGACTGTCAGGGTCACCCTCACTGGCCTGCTGCCCTTTAAAAGTCTGTGCAGTTACACCATATATGTGGGTACCAGACCTGGTAACTTGATTCATTTAGCAGGTAGTCGTAACACATAGTTGTGGTGGCACAACTAGGCAGCAGTGCCAGCTATTTAAATTCTACTGCCAGAAGAGCTGCTCGTCACATTACACCCACAAGGACATGAAGGGTGCAGTCAGATGAAATGGCTGATCTGATAGCTCATTTGCCATGAGAGGCAGTTCTGTTTCTCTGCACTCAGCAAGGCATTCCCACAACCTTCTTTCTTCTGATGCTGGTGCTCCTCAGGTTCTTCGGTGAACCAGTTCAGGCACCAAATGTTAGTTAAATCTGCTCACCAGAGTCAAGTCCAGTGCAAGCACAAGGAAAATACGCATTGCAGAGCCTGGGAGACCTGTGGGGCCAGCAAGCTCTTAGAACAGCACAGTCCATTTTGTCAGAGCTTTAAGGTGTGGTTTCCTAGCTGAAAGTTTGAGCTTACCACTTCCTGCAGTCTCCTCAGGAACCTCCTGAATGCAGATCTGTGGTGAAACAGGTTGTTTTTTTAAGTTGTTTAGTATATGAAAATAAGAGTAGATTTAGCATCAAGAAACAAGAGCAGAAATAGGTTTGCTTTCTTATCCCTTGTTGACTTGTCCATTTTAAATCATTTTAAACTGAATTTCTTTTTATTATAGTGGAGCTGGACCCACAAAACGTGTTGCAGCCCTGCATCACTCTGAAATTGTTTTTAATACATACAGCAGTGCTTTAGGAACAGTGCTTCCAATGAAGGGGTTGCAGCTGCTTAGGAAGCCCAAGACTTCTGTCAGGATAGCATGAAGCTATTTGAATAACAATTTAAAGTGAATCTTGCCATCTTTTTCACACCAAACACACAGAAGCGATAAAAGGTCAATTATTTTAAATAAATCTTCTTGTCAGGCTAGAAAGCTGGGCTGTAGGATCCCGGATTTCCTGTTTAATTGGCTGTAGGGAACATGAAGATTGTTTGGAATACCTTGAAGCTCTGAGTGCAGACCTTGCATTGTGCTCGATAGGAACAGCTATAATTTTTGCACCCTGTGAACACTTGGCAGCTAGCTCTTCTGTTTGCTCCTATATAGTAAAAATTCACTATCTTCTGCTCACCATGGAATGTGTAAGATAAAGATTAATTTACCCCAGTCGTAGGAACAGAGAAGTATTACGCATGTGACTAAGGGGAGCTTTTATCCACTGATCTCCTGTGATGAACACTTGTGTCAGGCATTTGCATTTGCCTATTTGTGTAACACACCTTTCCCACTTCTGTAAAACCAAAGACTGCCCTCGTGTTACCTTCTCTGCAAATGGATTTGAAAATAAACTAGTGATTCCCAGCAAGGGGAGGAAGTAACTTACTCATACACTCACTAACAGGTTGGAGACAGAAATTTGCCTTACTGTGAACATTAGTCCACTTCCTCTAGTCAGCAGCACAAGTTTTATTGTGGCTGATTAAGCTACTCCCTTCTCCTATCTCAGGTTTTATGGCACTAGGGTGCAAGGTGTGCTTTTGACTGAACAAGTTCTGTCAGCAACAGGAGTCCAAGGGCTGGGGATGGAGCTACCCCATGCTTGTCCCACCACTGATACCTTGCCATAAATTCAGGCTTTTTCTTTGAAATATAAAATGCTCATCCTGTCTGTACTCCTTACCAGAATCTGTTTTGAGATCTGTTGTGGAAAATTCCTGTGTCACACCAAAGTTCTCTTCCTCCCTCACTACAAGCTTCTCTTGAAACATGAAGAAAGTGGTTGTGGAGGCAGCCTGGAGGCTGGCCTCTTCTCTAGCACAAACATTTCTTATTCCCCTTCCTAGTGTTTGGCAAAACTTAGGATATGGTCTGGTCTGCATAAGAAGGTGACTGCAAATGCATTCATTTTGTCTTCAGTGAACAATTGTATTCACTTTTGTGTTCTTGGAGACCAAGTTGTATGCAGTGGTTACTAGCTAATCTAATCCAAAACGTTGTCTTTCAGTCTGAGCCAGTGCTATGACAAACTCATATTAGATCTTGGGGCTAAGAGCCATATGGACTGAGGCTGTATTTAAAACAGAAAGGGAAGGTGGGGTAAGGAAGCAGCAGCAGCAGCTCATCCACCAGCCGTACAGATGCTAGCCCTGGGGAGTACTTAAGGGTTTGGTTTTGTCTGAAGGGAGGATGGTCTAGAACAAGACAGGTGCTATGCAGAGGAAGTTTCTTTTCTGTGTTCTTTGCCTCAGACTCTGGTACTACAAGTGCTAGGTGGGAGCAGCTGCTTCCCAGTACCAAAGTTGCATTAAATCTGAATGCTCAGGGCCTTCATTTGTCAGTGGCAAAATTCATTAAATGAAGCAAAACTGCTGCTCTCTATCCGGGGCCTGATCCTGCAGTCATGAGAGAAACAAAAACTTGACTTAAAGGTTTCTTTTGCAAAAAATTGCAGAATTAAGCCCCTTCTGTTTACATCTGAACTACTTAAGGTAGGTGCAGGATCTCGAGAAGCCAGTCCTCACTTACCCAAGTGCAATGAGATTATTTATTAGCTTAACTAAAAGCCTAAGCAGCCTTTTACAAAAAGAATTCTACTTGCAGCCCTGGTTTTTATCTCCTTCATAATGTCTTTTATGGGAACTATGTGATGGAAGAAGCACAAGTGGCTTTCAGATCTCATTCTTCCTGATGTCAATTCTTGATGCTTGTTAACCATATGTGTAAATCTTGTCCATGGGCAGTGCTTACTTAATGTCATAAATGTCAAATGTCTAATGCAGGAGGCTGGTGTTTGGAACCTTAGAGTATTTTGAATGTCTATTTTAGTAATTAAAGCATTTTTAACAATATTCAACAGTGTGGTGCTGTTTTCTTTCCTAGATATTACTGTTGTTTTGCCTTTTTTTTTCATGGAGCCCTTAAGATGAGGCTGTTCAGAAGAAAAAAACATTATTTAATAAAGCACCAAAAGAGCAGGGAAAAGGATGAAAAGGATGAAAGAGAGAAAGACCTTTAAAACATATCTGCCATCAAGAGTTTGCCCTCCTAAACTGAAAACCACCTCTCCTTTCTTAGTCCAGGAGGTGCTAAGAACCCAGGAATGACACTATACAGTTCTAGACATCACATCAGAAAAAAATATTAAAGTAATTAAGGAGCAAAAGTTGTACCTGGCAAAATTTGGCACCGTGTTTGCCAAAAGACAAGGGTTGTTTCCACTTTAGTCGTCTATTTAAACAGGCCCATATTAAAAGCACATTGTGTTAGTTCTGTGGCTGAAGACATCATGGGTACTCTGAAGACACCCTAAATCCTCTTGAGGAGATGAGACGGAGCTTTCATAGCAAAATGATAGAATGCTTGGGTTGGAAGGGACCTCTGGAGATTTAGTTCAACCCCCTTTCTAAAGCAGGTTCACATCCAGGTGAGTTTTTAATATCTGCAGAGAAGATGATTTCACAACCTCCCTCTGCAGCCTGTGCCAGTGCCCTGTCACACTCAAGTAAGTTTTCTGTCATGTTCATAAACCCACTGGATGATGTAACGCACAACTCAATCTCTCAGGTTTATTGTTAAATTAAAATAACACCATTCAAAGATTCACTTCAGTCACAGTCTTTACAAGGACAATGCATTCAGTAGCAAGCTGCTGTTCCAAGCTGACAACAGGTCACTTGCTGGCAAAAGCCATGATTTGCTCCTAAAAGAGGGGAATAAAAAGGATCAGTAATTTGTAAACTGGTCATAAGCATGCATTCCAGAAAGCAGCTGTAGTCTCCTCTTTTATATTATAGGGACAACAGTTCTTTGTCAGCCTTTCTAGCCAAGTGCAGAGAGCACCTATACCTGTTGCTACTGAGCTGTCCCATACTTAGGAAATCCTCAGGCTCATTCAGGACCAAAACCTCAGTCTGAACAAGTAGCATTTTTCAAACAAAAATGTTTAATTTAAAAGGAAAAAAAAAAACACCTTCACAGTTCGTGTATGTTTCAATAGTACTTCTGGGCTCTTCTTACGGCTCTGACTAAAGTGAGACACTTACTTTGACAGAAGGCAGAGCATTTGTTGCTTGCAATCCCCATGTCCTCAGCAACACCAAGGGAGTCAGTCTTGTGGAGTAAAGCCTCTTTAGCACATCAATAGCAGCTATCAAGGAGACGTTGTGCCTCTGACGTTCTGTCTCAAACTTTAAAAGATGTTTTAAGGAGCCTGGAAGAGACAATTAGATGCTCCTATTAGAATTGATTTGCTGCAAACAACTGTGTCTTGTCTATAGACCACTGACCACAGTAAATCCTCTTGAGGAGATGAGACGGAGCTTTCATAGCAAAATGATAGAATGCTTGGGTTGGAAGGGACCTCTGGAGATTTAGTTCAACCCCCTTTCTAAAGCAGGTTCACATCCAGGTGAGTTTTTAATATCTGCAGAGAAGATGATTTCACAACCTCCCTCTGCAGCCTGTGCCAGTGCCCTGTCACACTCAAGTAAGTTTTCTGTCATGTTCATAAACCCACTGGATGATGTAACGCACAACTCAATCTCTCAGGTTTATTGTTAAATTAAAATAACACCATTCAAAGATTCACTTCAGTCACAGTCTTTACAAGGACAATGCATTCAGTAGCAAGCTGCTGTTCCAAGCTGACAACAGGTCACTTGCTGGCAAAAGCCATGATTTGCTCCTAAAAGAGGGGAATAAAAAGGATCAGTAATTTGTAAACTGGTCATAAGCATGCATTCCAGAAAGCAGCTGTAGTCTCCTCTTTTATATTATAGGGACAACAGTTCTTTGTCAGCCTTTCTAGCCAAGTGCAGAGAGCACCTATACCTGTTGCTACTGAGCTGTCCCATACTTAGGAAATCCTCAGGCTCATTCAGGACCAAAACCTCAGTCTGAACAAGTAGCATTTTTCAACCAAAAATGTTTAATTTAAAAGGAAAAAAAAAAACACCTTCACAGTTCGTGTATGTTTCAATAGTACTTCTGGGCTCTTCTTACGGCTCTGACTAAAGTGAGACACTTACTTTGACAGAAGGCAGAGCATTTGTTGCTTGCAATCCCCATGTCCTCAGCAACACCAAGGGAGTCAGTCTTGTGGAGTAAAGCCTCTTTAGCACATCAATAGCAGCTATCAAGGAGACGTTGTGCCTCTGACGTTCTGTCTCAAACTTTAAAAGATGTTTTAAGGAGCCTGGAAGAGACAATTAGATGCTCCTATTAGAATTGATTTGCTGCAAACAACTGTGTCTTGTCTATAGACCACTGACCACAGAAAACACAGAAAGAGTACACAGAAGTGGTCCATCTTAATAAAGGCCTTCTTCCATCAGATAGTGGTCTTCATCTCACCACCTCCTTAGCTACTACCATCCTGTAGAATATATATTTATTTTTTTTATTATTATTTTTTTTTAAAAGCAGCTTTGAGATTTGTGGGATGGAAGCCTATCTCTAAGAATTTGTAACTACTCCACAGCTAATGGACATCAGAACAGTTTTGCTTCAAAGGTGCTTGTGCCTTTCCAACACAAGGCAGCAGAACACAGCCTGCAACAGAGGTAAAGCTTTTCCCGATGGTAGGAGCAAAGGCCTGTAAGACTAATCACCTGCTGCCATTTTGTTGTTGTGCATCCTTACCCAGATCGCTCCCATTGAAGGCTGCTGCACTGAGGTGATGGGCTAAACATGCAATATCACCAAAGCCCAGGTTTACACCTTGCCCTGCAAGTGGGTGGACTCTGTGTGCTGCATCCCTGAAGCAAGAAAAGACAGAAATTTTGTATCTTGAAGAAAGCCTTAATGGCTGTCAAACCCCAGAAGGGATCAGTATAGCACTCCTCACCTCTGCAATGACCACCACCTTACAGCAGCATCTATGCTTTATCCAGTACCTCCTGGCATGCTATGCTGAGCTACCTGACTGCCTCTCCAGTTGTAAGAAGCAAGACAAAGGGGAGATAACAAAAAGCAGTTCTGAAAGGAAAAATGATAAAGAGATGACTATCCAAAGTCCTCTCTCAGACCTCACGTGGAATAGGCCTTAACGGGTTTTTTTGTAAGTGACCTCGGCACAACAGGAGGTGCATCAATGGCACATTTCACAGACGCAATAGACTGACAATGAATACAAAGGAGAAGTGGGACATCTTTGCATAAAATCAAAATCAGATTATTTTATGAGCAAACTTCTCTGTAAAGGACAAAGCCAGGCATATTGATAAGGGAGTCTTAAACTCAGAGAAATGAAATTGTTTGGGTATGAAATGTTAAGGTTATGCACTTTACCAAGCTGTAAAGCACTGAGTGCTCCCAAGCACAGAATGGCTCACAAGTTGGAAAGATGAAAAGTATCTGAAGTGTAATAATGGCATCCAAGAATTAGTATAAGCTCCCAGTGTATTGCAGCTGTGGCAGAGAAAACTAAAATGTCAAAGATGAGATCTTTTCCTATTCCTATAGGCTACTGAACAAAAGCTTATGACATCCCGTCTGGAACGAATTCTAAGTTTTGCCATTTGTTTTCAAGAAAAGTGAGTGTAGAACTCCAAAGTGATACACAGAATGACTGCTACAGTGTTTGGGGAAGTACAGATCCAGCATGAGATACTGGACCATTGCACCAGCTACAGAAGCCAGAAAAGGGAAACCATTATCTCAGTTTACACAGAGAGCAGACACGGTGGACAGAGAGCTACTCGTGCAAAAGGACTTTGTTGGCACAAGAGCACATGGAACAAACTGGGCCTGGGTAAAGTCAAACTGAAACTATAAATTATTTCTAACCATCTAATTTGTTGACTGGGAGTCACTATACTCCCATATACTCCATTTCTAAGCACACACCACCCACTCACACAAGGGCTACCCCTGGGGACCTTACCCGATAAGAGCCACCCGGTTTTGGACATACTGGGTCGCATGCCCCATTCCAAGAGGGAACATGGCTCGGCTCTCTGGATCTACTTCAGCGACACTAGGGGGCAGCTGACGGACTGCAGTCCCTGAGGGCTTCAGTAGTGAAACAGCTGCTCGAAACATGGCCCCAGCAGTATCAATGAAGTCAGAGTGGTTTACGTTGCTCCACTGAAAACACAAATCTTTACATGTAAACCAAAACTAGACACATCAAAGAATCCAGCTGAAAAAAATCTGAATGAGTGTGAAATACTGAATTGTAACCACTCAGACAAAACTATTTGGTAGAAGAAGCTATCTCCATAATTTTAGGACACCCAAGTTTCCAACTAAGACAAGCTTGCCCTTCCCATGTCTTGGAAATTTAGTTCAACTTCTGTGACTTTCAGAACTAACCTAACTTAGTCCCAAGGGGTCATCCTTTCTTTGCTAAGTGCCTTTTTAATATCATCCTCACCAGAGGAAGGAACTAACAAATACACCTCTCCCATGCCTATCCTTTAAGCTGTAGGGTTCTGCTGTATTTCTCATGATTACAACAAAGTCAGCCTCATACCTGCCACAAGGCTGATACTCACAAAGGCAGAGTTGACACTATCCACAAAACTCTCCTCATCCGTAGCAAGAAGTTCTGATGCATGTTCATGAGATGTAGACCAGACCAGAGAGCTGGCAGTGTCAGACAGCTAATTTAAGAGAATGTCAAGGGTAAATATCAAGAGAAAAATAACTTAAAAATAAATGATCAGTGTCAAGATTTCCCCACTGCCCTGTCCCACACCAGTCCCTCTGCACATCACTTTTCCAAGCCCAACTTGGTACAAGTGGGCAGGGGGGAGAAATAAAGGCAGTAACTGAAAAGTAAAGGACAGATGGACAAATTCTTGAAGAGACAAAATCAAACACAGAAAGACACAGAAAGAAATCAATTTACTAGAAAAGAACAGACTAAAACCTAAAAAAAACCCAAAACCAAGACCACAAGTCATCTTACCGGAAGAAGTGCAATTGGCCCTGTGGGAAGGAACCTCTGCCATGCTACATTATTGTCTGTGGCCTGCAGTGAAAAGAAGCCAGTGGACAGTTAGGGACTAGTAACCTGGATCACCTGCTTAAACTGTTTGGCTGCTTATGGAAGAGTCAATTAGCAGATTTTCACCTCAGACAAATGAAGAGTTGCCACCACAGCTGACTGGTCATACTGATGCTCAATGTTCCTAATTTCAGCTTCCTTCCGGACTACAGAGCTGTGACCATCTGCACCAATCTGCAAAACAAAGAGATAAAAAGCAACTTCTTCAGCAGCTCCTAAGAAAGCCAATGTTCCACTCTACAAACCCCAGCCTGCATGTACATGTTTTTGTTTACTCAGGGAAAAAAAAGAAAAAAAGAAAAGAAAAAAGCTTCCCCCAAAACCTGAAAAGGGGAACTGCTTCTGCTCTTGTGCAATTCAGCACTGTCTCCTTGTGTCAGGAACAGAAAAGGCCACACACTGAGCCCCACAGCATCTCTGACAGAGTTCAGCCACTCACCTCGCTCATGCCCTCCACGTAGGTGGAGCGGCACACACGGAATCAGAACCAAATCCAGTGGAAAGGACTTGGGTGAGAGATGATGCCTGATCAACAGAAATAAAAAGCTTAGTTACCAGCAGCTTGGTCTGAAGTCTGCGTCCATCAGCTAACTCAATTTGGACCCAAGGGCTTGTGTCACAGCTGTGGGAAGGAAGGGGCCAGGTATACCCGACTGCTCTGCTCCCGTAGAAAACCTCCACCCGGTCTGATGGGAACACAAAGCACCATGGTCACAGCCTGATACAGACATGAAAAAAGGAAACATCTGTGCAACAGCAAAGGCCATGCATGTCTTAAAGGTACCCTAAGAGCTGACCCTAGATCTCCCAAGGCACCCTGAAAGAAAAGATCTGGCCAACCCTTTGTCAACTGCAAGGCCTGCTCTAGATGGAAAGCTAAAGAAGTTTTCATTAAGTCTATTTTTGGAGAGACTATGTTCTGGAGAACTACTTATGTAACAGCTTTTTTACTGTGTAGCCTTCAGAAGATGGGTTTCTCCCTCCCTCTGAATTCAAGAAGCTGCTTATGTCTCAGTTACTTGTTGGATTAATTTTATTTCTCCCTCTCATAACTTTGTGCACACAACAGAAGGCAAATAACTGAAAGCTCTCAGCAGGAAATAAAATATTAA